CACAATGCCAAGTCTGGCTTTTTCTGTAATTGTAGATAAAAATTTCCTGGGCTGGGGAAAAAAAAAAAAATTTCCTGGGCTGGGAAGGTGGTTCAGTGGTAGAGCACTTGCCTTGCATGCATGAGGCCCTGGGTTCAATTCCTCAGCACCACATAAGCAAAAAGAAAAAAGCCAGAAGTGGCGTTGTGGCTCAAGTGGTAGAGCACTAGCCTTGAGCTGAAGAGCTGAGGGACAGCGCCCAGGCCCAGAGTTCAGGCCCCACGACCGGACCCCTAAAAAAATTCTTAATTTCTTTTTTGTTGTTGTTGTTGTTGTTGGTTGTGGGGCTTGAACTCTAGGCCTAGGAGCTGTCCCTGAGCTCTTCAGCTGAAGACAAGTCCTCTACCACTTGAGCTACAGCACCACTTCCGGTTTTCTGGTAGTTAATTGGAGATAAGAGTGTCACAGACTTTCCTGCCCAGGCTGGCTTTGAACCATGATCCTCAGATCTCAGCCTCCTGAGTAGCTAGGATTTTAAGTGTGAGCCACTGGTGCCTGTTCTTTCTTTTCTTTTTCTTTGCCAGTCCTGGCGCTTGAACTTAGGGCCTGGACACTGTCCCTGAGCTTCTTTTGCTCAAGCCTAGCACTCTACCACTTAAGCCACTTCCAGCTTTTTCTGTTTATGTGGTACTAAGGAATTAAACCTGGGGCTTCATGCATGCTAGTCAAGCACTCTACCACTAAGCCACATTCCCAGCCCTGTCCCTGAGCTTTTGTGCTCAAGGGTAGAACTCTACTTATTGGAGCCACAGCTCTGTTTCCAGTTTTCTGGTATTTAATTGGAAATAAGAATCTCACGGACATTCCTACCCAGGCTGGCTTTGAACCACAGTCCTCAGATCTCAACTTCCTGAGTAGTTAGAATTGCAGGCATGAGATACCAGCACCTGGCTGATAAATAGCATTTTTTTTTTTTTAACTGTATTTTTTTTTTTTTGTCTTTTCTTTTTTGGTACTGGGGATCGAACACAGGACGTTGCACTTGATAGGCAAGCGCTTTGCCACTGAGCTACATCCCAGCCCAATAGTATTTTCAATGTTCAGAGAAGTTATACCTTCAGATTACTTAGCTCTTTTGCTCAATACTGGCCTTCTACCACTTGAGCCACATCTCTAACTCCAGCATTTTGGTGATTCATTGGAGATCAGACTCTCTTGGATTTGTCTTGGACTGGCTTCAAATCTCCATCCTCAGATCTCAGCTCCCTGAGTAGCTAGGATTTTAGCCATGAACCCCTGGGTACCCAACTTTCCACCATTTTTTTTTGTTTATTTATTTATTTGTTCATTGTGGGGCCTGAACTCTGAGCCTGGGTGCTGCTCCTGAACTCTTCAGCTCAAGGCTAGCACTCTACCACTTGAGCCACAGTGCCACTTCCAGATTTTTCTGCTTATGTGGTGCTGAGGAATAGAACCCAGGGCCTCAGGCAAGCCCTCTACCACTGAGCCACCTTCCCAGACCTCACTGTTTTTAAAATTGAAGAAGTGCTATAAAACAATGTTAAAGGAAAAGAAAGTATCTGGGTGGTATGGAATTGCTGGGTATAAGGATACATAACTTATTAATCTTTAGTGACATAATCAAATTTCTCTCTTTTTTTTTTTTCTTTAGAACTTGGGCTTAGAGGGCTGGGAAGGTGGCTCAGTGGTACAGCACTTGCCTTGCATGTTCGAGGTCCTGGGTTCGATTCCTCAGCACCACATTAAGAAAAAAGCTGGAAGTGGCGCTGTGGCTCAAGTGGTAGAGTGCTAGCCTTGAGCTGAAGAGCTGAGGGAAAGCGCCCAGGCCCAGAGTTCAGGCACCACGACCGGACCCCCCCCCCCCAAAAAGAAAAAAACAAAAGAACTTGGGCTTAGACTCAATATCACACTCAATCTACTTACTTATACTCTGTCACCTGAGCCATGCCTCTAGCCCAAATTGCTCTCTCAATGTGCATTCACTCCAATGACAGTGACTATTTCTTTTCTTTTCTCCTCCTCCTCCTCCTCTTCCTCCTCCTCTTCTTCCAATGCTTGGGCCTGAGCACTGTCCCTGAGCTTCTTTTGTTCAAGGCAAGCACTCTACCACTTGAACCACAGCACCACTTCTGGCTTTTTCTATTGATGTGGTACTGAGGAATTGAATCCAGGGCTTCATTCATGCTAGACAAAGACTCTACTACTAAGTCACTTTCCCAGCCCAAGTTCTAGTTCTGAACCCAAGACTAGTTCTGAATCCCTCATTGTAAGGGATTTCAAAAACCTTTGAGGACTGAGAAGGTGGTTCAGTGGTAGAGCACTTGCCTTGCATGCATGAGGCCCTGGGTTCGATTCTCAGCACCACATAAGCAAAAAGAAAAAAGCTGGAAGTGATGATTCTCAGCACCACATACGCAAAAAGAAAAAAGCTGGAAGTGATGCTGTGGCTCAAGTGGTAGAGTGCTAGTCTTGAACTGAAGAGCTGAGGAACAGCGCCCAGGCCCAGAGTTCAGGCCCCATGACCGGACCAAAAACAAAAACAACAACAACAAAAAAAAAACCTTTGAATTTTATGCTGGGGCATAACACAATTCAAATGATTTTTTTTTCTGTCGGTCGTGGGGCTTGAACTCTGGGCCTGGCCACTGTCTCTCAGCTCTTCAGCTCAAGGATAGCTCTCTACCACTTGAGCTACAGCGCCACTTCCTGTTTTCTGTTGGCTTATTGGAGATAAGAGTTTCACGGACTTTCCTGCCCGGGCTGGCTTTGAACCTCAATCCTCAGATCTCAGCCTCCTGAGTAGCTAGGATTACAGGCATGAGCCACCAGTGTCCGGCTTATGATAGTTTTAACACTGGTTCTGGCTGGTATGAGCAGAAGTGATTGGGCAGAAGAAGAACTGGGTAAGGTTGATAAATGAGACAGCTATTTTCTATATCCAGGCCTGGTACAATACTCTCAGCCTATACTACACTTCACCTTTTACTTGGTTGTCACTTTATCATTCAGCTAATATTTACCAACATTCTCTATGTGCCAGGCACTATTCTAAGCACTCAGGATTACCAAATGAAAGGCTGTTTTGATACTTGCCTTGTGGTGGGTAGAGAGATCAAGGCAATCACATAAACACGCAGTCATGGCAGGTGTTGCTAATGTGATAGGAAGAATCAAGCCAGGGAAGGAAAAGAGGGGCAGAGGTGAGGATGGACACAATGTCAGAGAGAGGGTGTCCAGGAAAAGTCATGAGATAAGACATAAACAAGTTTCCAAAGAAATGAGGAGGGAACCAAGTAAACATAGGAAGGAAGATTGGAGGCAGGAACCAGCATGACCTCCAGCTATGCTCACCCAGGTGCCAGATGCTCTGATTTTCTACAGTAGCTGCAGCACTGGGCTGTATATCCCAGCTTCTCTAGCTCAGAAAATTGCTCCAACACTTACTTGCCAGGTCACAAACTGGAAGCCTGAGTTATTTTTGTCTAATATTTCTCCCCCCCTCCCAATACATCTAAAAAGTCTTCCAGTTGAAGGGATTTCATTCACTAAGTACAATCACACTTCACAAAGAGGACAGTTTGAGAAATGAGTCATTAGGTAAATCTGTCATTGTGCAAACCCTATAGTATGTCCATAAACCCTGGCAGTCAGGTCAACTAGTCCATGAGGGCTCTGGGTAAAATCAAGAGATATGGCAACCATGAAGTATATGAATCTGCTACAGGTGTTATTTGGCATCCATATTCTGACATTTTTTTTTTTTTTTTGCTTTTGGTTATGGGGCTTGAATTCTGGGCTCGCCTTCAGCTGAAGAGCTAGGGGACAGCATCCAGACCCAGAGTTCAAGCTTTATAACTCACACACACACACACACACACACACACACGCACAAACACACACACAAAGATAATGATGACTATCATTGTGAAGACTAAAAGGTGTTCGTGACTTTAAAACAAATTAGAATGTGAAAAAAAAAGTTCACACCTGAAAGCAAGACCCTAGTGAAATTATTTTGTGACAGATCCCTGGAGCCAGGTTAGGGTAAGCCTGGAGGAATGCTCAGGTAGTGAAGGTGCACAAGGCCTTCATCCCAAGCACATATACAGGTCTCCAGTGAGCCCAGTTAGCCAACAGAATGATGTTGGAGACCTTTACAAAGTCTAATAGGGACAGATAGTCCTGGGAAGCATTGACACTTAGATGAGAAACTCAAACAGAATTCCTAGATGGCTGAGGTAGAGGTTACGTGGAGTTGGGCAGGAAATGAGACAAAAAACAAACAAACAAACAGGATCTGTAATCTTTAGGCTGCTGCCCTAGGGGCACCTGTCTAAGATCTTTTGTGCAGCTGAAGGAAGTCAGACTTAAGAGTCAGACTTCCGTGTGACATTTCCACTGCTGTGCAGCCAGTGGCAATATGAATGGCTGGTATGTGGGGCTGGCACTCATGAAAAGCTCAGGCTTCTCTTCCTTCCATACTGCCCCTCTCCCTGCTCCCCATTAGTAGCTAAGTCTTACCCTAGAGTCTTACACTTTATACCTTCCTGTTAGTGCTGTCTGGTCACAGGGCAGCTTTGAGCTGTGTTGCAAGGTTGCAAAGATGCAATTTGCTGACAGTAAGTTTCCAGGCCTGGATCAGTCTGCGAGGAGTCTAGGGAGGATGCCTGATCTCTTCTGGATGGTCTGATGATCCTAGCATTGGGGGGGTGAGGGGCGGAGGGGGGGAGCCTTTCACCACCACCTCCTCATTCACCACCTTCTCATTCAGAGCAGGTAGTGAGAATTCACAGGGGGCTGGGGTTCTCTTTAGGACAGAAAGTTGTGCTGGTTACTTTTACTGATGGACTCTCAGGTTCAGAGGCCTGGCCCCAGGGGACAAATCTCATTCCTCCAGAGGAGTAGCCATACAGGCCAGTTAATGATCAGCCCCCAGGGTAGGGGCAGAGGAGGACAGGGCAGATCTCATTTAAAGAGGCCCCCATGTTCCAGCACTGCTAGGGAGCTGGCCAACCTTCCTTCTTCCACAAGCTGATTAAAAACAAGGACAGAGGTCTGAGATTCCAGAGGCCCTCTACTTGTTGTGGTGTGCAGAGGACATACTGTTTCCAGGGTGTCAGAAGATTAAAGCTCACTGCTGAGGTAATAGACAGGGAAGCAAGTTAGGACCCGGGTCCTTGAAGTTGCTCTCTTTGTAGGCCCTGAAGGGTCTTCTTCCTTTGCAGATTTTCTTCCAAAAGTTTAACTACCTTCTCTGATTCCCTACCAGTTCTTCCTCCTCTGGTCCAAACCTAAGGCATTCACCAGGGATTAGGACTGTGTCTTCCCTAAACCTCTACGGAGGTACATAGAGGGCTGACTCCCACATCCCCCAGGCTCAAGGCACCTGGAAATATAGCTTTTCGTTTTCTTTTGCTAAAATCTGCTCTTTGTTCCTTTTTCTCACTAGTGGTACCACTGTGTGTGTTGCGGGGGAGGGGGGATGCCTTGTGTCCTAGCCCAGGGTGGAGATGTGAAAGGAGTCTAAATTAACTTGGGATACCCAGGTGGGAAGTAAGTGGAAGAAGGGAGGGAAGGTTGGGCATTTCTAACAACTGAGGCTCTAGCCAAAATATTCAAGCCAAGTATGGTAACAATTGTGATAATTATAGATGTACACAATATACACCTATAATCTCAGTATTTGATGTGTGTATGTGGGAAGCTGAGGCAGGAGGTCTGAGAGGTCAAGCCCAACTTTGAGTTACATAGAGAGACTCTACCTAAAAAAAAACAACACAAAAAAAACATTAAAATAACCAGGTGTCAGTAGCTCATGCATATAATCCTAGCTATTCAGGAGACTGAGATCTGAGGATCGTGGTTCAAAGCCAGTCTGAGCAGGAAAATTCTTGAGATCCTTATCTTCAATTAATCACCAAAAAGCTGGAAGTAGAGTTCTGGCTCTAGTGTTAGAGTTCTAGCTTGAGCAAAACAAAGCTCAAGGACAATGTCTAAGTTCTGAAATCAAACCCAAGGACCGGCACAGAAACACAGAAAAACATTTAAACAGGGCCAGATGAGGTGATAACATGTTTGTAATTCTAGCTATTCAGGAAGCAGAGATTATGAAAGATCATGGTTCTAGGCCAGCCAGGGCAAAAGAGTTTGTTAGACCCCATCACAACCAATAAAAAGCTGGGTACAAAGCCGGGTGCTGGTGGCTCACAATCATAATCCCAGCTACTCAGGAGGCTAAGATCTGAAGAGAGAGGTTCAAAGCCAGAGACAGCAAAAAAAATCCAGGAGATTCTTTTTTAAAATTGATTTACTTTATTGTTATTATAGAGGTGATGCACAGAGGGATTTCAATTACATTAGTCAGGTAATGAGTACATTTCTTTTCCTACAATGTCTTCTGTTCCCTCATTCTCTCCCAGTCCCTTCTTCCTGTCTCCACCCATGTGTATAGTTGAATACCTCACTGTCATCAGTGTCCAGTGAGCTCCACTACTGTACTTTTTCACCCTTATTCCCTTGAATTCTGTACCCTCCCCCCCAACCAACCCAAAGATATATATGTGTGTGTGTGTGTGTATGTGTGTGTATACGTGAATACACTATACATAAGGTAAAGAAGACAGACTCAGCCGGGCTCCAGTGGCTCATGCCTATAGTCCTAGCTACTCAGGATCTGAGGATAGTGATTCAAAGCCAGTCCAGGCAGGAAAGTTCATGAGACTCTTATCTCTAATTAACCACCAGAAAACTGGAAGTGGTGCTGTGGCTCAAATAGTAGAGTGCTAACCTTGAGCTGAAGAGCTCAGAGACAGTGCCCAGGCCCAGAGTTCAAGCCCCACTACTGACAAAACACAAACAAAGCCGGGCGCCAGTGGCTCATGCCTATAATCCTAGCTGCTCAGGAGGCTGAGATCTGAGGATCTGGGTTCAAAGCCAGCCTGGCAGAAAAGTCCGTGAGACTCTTACCTCCAATAAACCACTAGAAAACCGGAAGTGGCGCAGTGGCTCAAGCGGTGGCGCTCTCCTTGAGCTGAAGAGCTTAGGGACAGCTCACAAACCCAGAGTTCAAGCCCCACGACTGACAAACAAACAAACAAACAAAAGAAGACAGAATCATCAAAAACTAAAAACTTTAAAAAAGAGAGAGAGAAAAAAGATCTCTTGGGGCTGGGAAGGTGGCTCAGTGATAGAGCGCTTGCCTTGCATGCCTGAGGCCCTGGGTTTGATTCCCCAGTACCACATAAGCAAAAAAGAAAAATGCCGGAAGTGGCGCTATGGCTCAAGTGGTAGAGTGCTAGCCTTGAGCTGAAGAGCTGAGGGACCCCCCCCCAAAAAAAAGAGATCTCTTGTTTCCATATTTTGAGTTCATTTTAGTATGCATATATATTTTTTTTTGGGGGGGGGAGGGAGTCTGGTCGTGGGGCCTGAACTCTGGGCCTGGGCACTATCCCTCAGCTCTTCAGCCCAAGGCCAGCGCTCTACCACTTGAGCCACAGCGCCACTTCCGGCTTTCTTCTTTTTGCTTATGTGGTGCTGGGGAATTGAATCCAGGGCCTCATGCATGCAAGGCAAGCGCTCTACCACTGAGCCGCCTTCCCAGCCCCTGTATATTATTTTATATAAATATGAAGAGGCACTTAGGATTGTGCCTTTGTGCTTTTTTTTTTTTGTCAGTTGTAGGGCTTAAACTCTGGGCTTGGGCACTATCCCTGAGCTCTTTTTTTTTTTTTGGGGGGGGGGGTCTGGTCGTGGGGCCTGAACTCTGGGCCTGGGCGCTGTCCCTCAGCTCTTCAGCCCAGGGCTAGCGCTCTACCACTTGAGCCACAGCGCCACTTCCAGCTTTTTTCTTTTTGCTTATGTGGTGCTGAGGAATCGAACCCAGGGCCTCGAGCATGCAAGGCAAGCGCTCTACCACTGAGCCGCCTTCCCAGCCCCTATCCCTGAGCTCTTCAGCTCAAGTCTACTGCTCTACCACTTGAACCGTAGCGCCACTTCTGGTTTTCTGGTGGTTTATTGGAGATAAGAGTCTCATGGACTTACCTTGCCTGGGCTGGCTTTGAACTGTGATCCTCAGATCTCAGCCTCCTGAGTAGCTAGGATTATAGGTGTGAGCCCTATAGGTAGTGCCTTGCTACCTTTGTGTTTCTCTTCAGAATGTCTTCTTGCCGGGCATCAGTGGCTCAGGCCTGTAATCCTAGCTATTGTGTATAAGTATCTAGAGTCCTGTGTAATTTATTGTATCCCAGTGTATTTTAGATCTAATTTCTATATATCAGAGAGAACATGTGCCGTTTTTCTCTCTGAGTTTGGTTTATCTCACTTAACATGATTTGTTCTAGTTCCACTATTTCCCTGAAAGTGACATTATTTTATCCTAATGGCTGTGTAAATTTCCACTATGTTTAGGTACTATATCTTTTGGATCCACTCATCTTGTGGATCTGGGCTGTTTCCCTATCTTGGCTATTAGGAATAGTACAGCAATGAACGTGGTTGTGCAGGCATCTTTTTTTGGTCGTAGGCTTGAACTCTGGGCCTGGGTACTGTCCCTGAGGTCTTCAGCTCAAGGCTAGTGCTCTACCACTTGAGCACAGTGCCACTTCTGGCTTTTTCTAATTTTGTAGAACTGAGAAATCAAACCCAGGGCTTCATGTATGCTACACAAGCACTCTACCACTGGGCCATATTCCCAGCCCTCTCCTACTCTCTGTCTGCCTGTCTCTCTCTGTCTCTCTCTCTGTCTCTTTCTTTCTCTCTGTCTCTCTCGGTCTCTCTCAGTGCTTTCATAGTTTTTGAGATCCCAGAGCCTCTTAACTTTAATTAACCAACAAAAATCCAGAAATGGTAGATGTGGTAGAGCACTAGCCTAGAGGCAAGGGAAGCTTAGGGAAGAGTGGGAGACCATGAATTCAAGCCACGGTACCAACACACACACACACACACACACACACACACACACACACACACACACACACACGGTAGGTATAGTGGCATGTACCTGCCATCCTATCTACTTGGGAGGATACATAGGAGAAGGGGTGTGGGGGGTGGAATCCAGGCAGGTCTAGGCATAAATGGGAGACCCCACTGACAAATAGCTAAAACAAAAAGGGCTGGAGGGCATGAAGGGGTAGAGTGCCTGTCAAGTATGTAGAAAACCCTGAGTTCAAAGCCCAGTATTGCCAAAACAAACAGATTCAAATGTCTGGCTGGATATGGGTGACATGTGGGCTGGAGAAGTTAGAGGGTTAGGGACCTACAAGTTGGGGGCATAGGGGCTCCTTATTCCCCAGCACTGACCCTGACATTGGGATGACTTTGGTTCCCTGAGTCTCCCTCTCATCTTTGTGGCAGAAGAGAGATGGTAGAAATGGACTAGATTGTCTTGAAGGATCTCAGCAGATTAGGTTGCAAGATTTTTTTTTTCCTGCCAGTCCTGGGGCTTGAACTCAGGGCCTCAGCACTGTCCCGGAGCTGCTGCTTCTTTTTTGTTGTTGTTGTTGGTCATGGGGTTTGAACTCTGGGCCTGGGCGCTGTCCCTCAGCTCTTCAGCTCCAGGCAAGCGCTCTACCACTTGAGCCACAGAGCCACTTCCAGTTTTCTACTGGTTCATTTGAGATTAGAGTCTCCTGGACTTTCTTGTCCAGGCTGACTTTGAACCTTGATCCTCAGATCTCAGCCTCCTGAGTAGCTAGGATTACAGGCGTGAGCCACCAGTGCCCAGCCCCTGAGCTTCTTCTTCTTCTTTTTTTTTTTTTGGGTCCACTCGTGGGGCCTGAACTCTGGGCCTGGGCGCTGTCCCTCAGCTCTTCAGCTCAAGGCTAGCGCTCTACCACTTGAGCCACAGCACCACTTCCGGCTTTTTCTTTTTGCTTATGTGGTGCTGAGGAATCGAACCCAGGGCCTCAGGCATGCAAGTCAAGTGCTCTACCACTGAGCCACCTTCCCAGCCCCAAGCTTCTTTTGCCCAAGGCTAGCACTCTACCACTTGAACCACAGTGTCACTCTGGCTTTTTCTGAGGATGTGGTACTGAGGAATGGAACCTAGGACTTTGTGTATGTTAGACAAGCACTCTACCACTAAGCCACAGTCTCAGCCAAGATTTTTTTTGTGCCAATCTTGTGGCTCGAACTCTTTGCTCAAGGCGAATGCTATACCATTTGAGCCACTGTGCCACTTCCGGCTTTTTCTGTGATTAATTGGAGATAAGAATCTCATGGATCTTACTGCCCAGGCTGACTTTGCACCTGTATCCTCAGATCTCAGCCTCCTGAGTAGCTAGAGCTACAGGAGTGAGCCACTAGTGCCCAGCATTCCTGTGCATTAAAAAGAAAAAAATTTAGGGCCAAGCACCAGCCTGTAATCCTAACTCCTTAGGAGGCTGAGATCTGAGGATCATGGTTCCCGCAAACCAGAAGAAGTGGTGCTGTAGTTCAAGTGGTAGACTGGCCGCCGTAAGCTGAAGAGCTCAGGGACAGTGCCCAAGCCCAGAGTTCAAGCCCCATGACCAGCCAAAAATAATATATTTTTCTTTTGGTGGTACGTGAGTTTGAGCTTGCCAGACAAGCACTCTACTACTTGAGCCATGTTCCCAGTCTTTTTTGCTTTTGTTGTTATTGTTATTATTATTATTATTATTATATTTTGCCAGAATTAGGGCTTTGACTCAGGGCCTGGGCACTGTCCCTAAGCTTTTTTTGCTCAAGGCTAGCACTCTACCACTTGAGCCACAGTGCCACTTCTCGCTTTTTCTGTTTATGTGGTACTGAGGAATCAAATCCAGAGCTTCATGCATGCTAGGCAAGCACTATACCATTAAGCCACATTCCCAGCCCTGCTTTTGATATTTTTTCCCATTAAGATCTTGTAATTGGGCTGGGAAGTTGGCTCAGTGGTAGAGCGCTTGCTTTGCATGCATGAGGCCCTGGGTTCAATTCCTCAGTACCACATAAGCAGAAAAAGCCAGAAGTGGCACTGTGGCTCAAGTGGTAGAGCGCTAGCCTTGAGCTGAAGAGCTGAGGGACAGTGCCCAGCCCAGAGTTCAGGCCCCACAACCGACCAAAAAAAAAAATCTTGTAATTATGTCTGGAGTGGTCTGGACTGCAGTCCTCCTATTTATGCTCCTACACAGCTGGGATGACAAAGCAAGTGTCACTGCACCCAGCTTTTTATTGCTTGAGATAGGCGCAGAGAGGGTTGATAAATATTTTTCCCTGGCTTGATGCAAACTTAGATCCTAGCTATCTCTATTTATCAGGGAGTTAGGATTATAGATAAGTAGCGCCTGTAACAAGTATAAGCCACACTTGGCTTTTTTTTTTTTTAATTTCAGTGCTATTAATGGAATCAAGGGCCTTACATAGGTCAAACATGCACTCTGCTGCTAAGTTTTACCCCTAGCCCAAGCTTGTATTAATCCACCCTTTCCAGGACTGCAATAATTAATAGCTGAGTGGCCTTTGCCCAATCTCAGGCCTCATTCCTGGGCTCCATTCCCACTGCCCGTCTCCTAGGCCACTAAACCTCACTGTCTGTTACAATAAAGCTCCAAAGGAGAGCGTACAAGAGATCAGAAGCCAGAGCCAGTCTGAGAGCTGCCTCCTGTCCCAGGTATGCAACTTGCCCCCGCCCCCCCATCAGAGGCCACACTATAGTACTTAAAATTCCTACTAGAGAATGTGCCTGAACAGAGAGTGACCTCTGCTTGCTGACCACCAGGGAATCCAGAGGTGGAGACTGAGGCCCAGATTAGAGCAAAGCTAAACAAGTTAGTGTCCATCGCTGAACCAGAACCTATAGGGCACCTGCCCTTCGGTTCACCATTGAGTTCTCAGCTCTCCTACTTTGGCCCTTAGACTGGGTAGAGTCGGGGTGGGGGTAGGCTGTGATGGTTGGTAGGAAATGTTATGGCTAAATCAAGAACTGAAGGTGAGACTTGGAATTTAGAGCCTGGAAGGCTATTTATTTGGTGGTGTTTTCTTTCCTATACTTAATCCTTAGACAAACAGCCTGAAGACAGTTTGTGCCTATTTCCCCCAGGATCTGAAGCAGCTGTAATCACAGACCAAACCTATGGCCTCAACAGCTAGGCTCTGTGGTTCACCTCCCTGCCCCTAACCAGAACTGAGCCATATTTAGTGTTTCAAGAGTACAGATTTCCCTGCCCCACCCTGAAAATTAGTGAGTGGGTGAAAGGAGACAGGATTGGGTTCTGGAATGAATGATTGATTGTTGAATGAAAGAATGAATAGAGAAACGCTTCAATAAATAGAAGAGCAGTGGAGCAGAAAAGAGAACTGAGTGAGAATTCAATTCCACTCTTAAGTGATGCTGTTTAGAGATCACACCCCCAGCTCAGTCCTTGGCAAGAGCTCTGTCAGGACACCCAAGTTTCTGGGGAAATGGGGGACATGAGGGTACATTCACTTTATTGATTAGCGTGTAGAAAATGGGTTTGAAAGCAGACATGACAGGACTTGTGGGAAATGAATTTGGAGCATTGCATGAGGTCCCAGAAGACCTCTTGACATTCTTGTGACTAAGGGAAGCCAGCTCTGATATGGAGGCTCTGATATGGAGGCCCCAGGATTGACCAAGCTGTCTGTGACATCCCCAGGTCACAGGGTATCTGGGAGGGGCCAACTGGACCAGCTTAAGTGACCAGCTGGAAGAAGCTCAGTGATAGTGCCTGGCATCAATGACTCTTAGGATAACCAGATCCCACCTGGTCCACCCTGAAACAATAGATTCAGAATCCCCCCTCTCTGAGCCACCTCTTAACCTGAACTAGTGAGAAACTTTTGCACTGTTTCAACTATGCTGAACTTCTAATCACATGCCTCTAATCCTTACTTAACCTAAGGCCAAAGTCTGCTACTTGAGAGACAGAAGATAGCCAAAGATGAGTTTAAAGTTGTAATCTCTTTCTCTGTTGTGTTTATTTGCTAATAAACTTTCCTAGTTCCTGTTTTGCCTAAATTCTCACCACAAGTACCCAGACTGTTGATTAGCAACACCAACCAAATTACGTCTTTACTGTAATCCCAGCTACCTAAGGAAGATTTCTTAAACCCAAGAGTGAGAAAAGCTCAGACGGCAGTGACTCTCAGTCATCAAATCTCCGTAGACATTCAGCTTAAGGTAAGGCATTTCTGTAAACTTGAGATGCTGGTCCTGGGGCTTGAACTCAGGGGCTAGGCACTATCACTGAGCTTCCTTTTTGCTCAGAGCATGGGAGCCACAGCGCCACTTTTGGCTTTTTTTTGGTAGTTTATTGGAGATAAGAGTCACACAAACTTTATGGACTTGGCTGGCTTTGAACTGTGATCCTCGCATCTCAGCCTCTAACTGGCATGAGCTACCAATGCCTTTCTTCTATAAATGTTTACGATGCCATTTGGAACCTCCTCCCCCACCAAAAAATCTAAGGGTTTGGGCTGGGAAGGTGGCTCAGTGGTAGAGTACTTGCCTTGCATGTATGAGGCCCTGGGTTCGATTCCTCAGCACTACATAAGCAGAAAAAGCCAGAAGTGGCACTGTGGCTCCAGTGGTAGAGTGCTAGCCTTGAGTTGAAGAGCTGAGGGACAGCGCCCAGGCCCAGCATTCAGGCCCCATGACTGGCAAAAAAAAAAAAAAGAAAAAAAGAAAAAGAAAAGGAAAAATCTAAGGGTTTAACTTAAGGCCTTATGCACTTGACTTTTTTCCTCTAAAGCCTGGCGCTCTACCACTTGAGCTAATGCCTCTATTTCTGGCTATTTGCTGGTTTATTGGTGAGAAGTCTTGCCAATCTGTCTGCCTGGGCTAGTTTTCAACCTCAATTCCCAATATATAATATATCATAATATGTATATAATCATCCTCTTGATTATTATATCCTTGAGCTACTTTTGTGTGCAGAGCTGTGGCTAAAAATCTTATTTATTTTGTTTGTGACCAGGATGCAAGTTAGGTATCTCCTCATTGGCTGGCTCTCTTTTACCTGAGCCATCCAATCCCTTCAGTTTTTTTTTTTTTTTGATATTAGGGTTTGAACTCAGGGGTCCAAGTTTGGCTCAGTTTGCTTGGCTTCAGCTAAAGGACTTGGCTCTCCCCTCTTGGCCCAATCATTTTATGTATCTAAAGATGGATTATGAAGGATTGTCCCAGGTCCATACAGACGGCAGGTAAATCCGTCGTGGAGCCTGAACTTTGGGCCTGGATGCTGTCCCTCAGCTCTTCAGCTCAAGGCTAGCACTCTACCACTTGAGCCACAGCACCACTTCTGGCTTTTTCTGCTTATGTAGTGCTGAGGAATCCAACCCAGGGCCTCATGCATGCAAGGCAAGCACTCTACCACTGCACCATCTTCCCATTCCCCCTAAGTTTATTTTGCACAAAGCTAGTGCTCTACAACTTGAGCCACATTGCCACTTTCAGCTTATTGAGTCATCTGTTGGAGATAAGCATCTCTTAGCCTTCCCTCACCAGGCTCTAAATTGTGATCTTCAGATCTCAGCCAGCCTTCTGAATTGCTAGGATTATAGGTTTGAGCTGTGTCTGGCTCTACTATTAAAGGCCAGTCTGGATTGCCGATCTTATCTCAAAAACTCAAGTTTCCTGCCTCCAATTCCCAAGTGCTGCGATTAAGTTGTGTAGCACTACTTAACAAACCTTGACTTTGAGTTGTATCTCTTGACCCTGAAAAGTCAGCTTGGGACTTGTGTGGTTGCACGCGGTGTCTGATGGGTCTCTCACTGGGTCTGGGGAGACTGCCCGGAAGGTGGGAGCACGTGATGTACCAGCTGAGGCTCCGCCTCCTGGAGCTGAGCCCGGGTTCCACCTTTAATTCTTTGAGAGTGACCAAAGCGCTTCCTTCGCGTACAGACATGGCCAGGCACATGAGCACACAGCTGCTGCTCCTGCTGGTATACGGGGCCTTAGGTGCAGCCCATCCCACAACTCCTCCAGGCAAGCCTCATCCTCTTTCTGTCTGTATCGATGCCAAACACCACAAGGAAAAGCCAGGCCCTGAAGACAACTTGCATGGTCAGGTAGGTCTGGGGGTGATGACTGCCTGACTCAGGAAGATGAGGTCAGCAGATGGGAGTGTCTAGCCCCACTCTGTTTGGGTACACCTTTGGTTTGCTCAAATGTGTGCTATACTCTCACACCCATGGTGTCTATTGTAATGGCTCCAGCTCCTTCTTGGGTACTTGTTGATTTTCCTCGAAACAAAAATAAGGAAGCTGGCACAGAGGAGCGTAGAAACAGACTTTAAGAACCATCCTTGGGGGTGGGTTGGATTTGGATTTGGGGGGTTTTTCAATTGGGGAACAACAGCCCCAAGGATCCTAGAGGAAAATGGACACTGCACACAGTGGGACCTTTCTACCCACAAGGCCCAGCCTGGGCAAGGTGATCCTCCTCCTGCGCCCAAGACTAGCTGCCAAACACTTGGACTCAAGAACTTGGCAAACGTTTTGGACCAGAACTCTCTATCTTGTAACAGTTTTGTTACAAGCCCTTTAATATATTCAATTAAACTAAATATTTAATAGAAATCAATATGATGTAATAATTATAAGGAAAAAACAACCACCCAGGAGGGCTAGGAAGAAGGATTGTTTGAATCCAGGAATTGAAGGCCAAGATGGGCCACATTAGAGGGGCTCCCTTAAAATTGCTGCTGATCTGGGGTTTGTACTCTGGGTCTTGAACTTGTTAGGACCTCAGGTGTTTTGTGTAGTGTGTGTGTGTGTGTGTGTGTGTGTGTGTGTGTGTGTGTCTTGTCACTGTCCCTTAGCTTTTCTTGCTCAGGGCTGTTGAAAACCTCCACATCCCCTTAACCCGCTGCGAATGGAACCAAGGCAGTAACTGAGACAGCACTGTGGAATTGAGGTTTGGGGTACCAGGAGACCTGTAGCCTTCTCCCAGCTTCAGATCCCTAGGTTTCATTCATCAAGGTTGGTTTTCTATAGGGAAGTATGTACAGAAAGTAAGGGGTAAACATCAACAGTTGACAATATTTTGTAAACAAGTGGTAGACGACTTCTTTATTTTGGGAATGATTACTAAATGGTGTACAGCGTAAACCTTGCATAAACCTTACTCTATCCCAGGCTCCCTTGCAGTTTAGAATCGAAATCTGAATTCCCGGGCTGGCTTAGTGGTAGAGTAGTTGCCTAGCATATATGAAGCCCAGGGTTCAATTCCTCAATACCACACAAACAGAAAAACCCAGAAGTGGTGCTGTGCTTCAAGTGGTAGAGTGCTAATCTTGAGCAAAAGAAGCTTAGGGACAGTGCTTAGGCCCTGAGCTCAAGCCCCAGGACTGAAAAAAAAGAAAAGAAAAGAAATCTGAATTCCTGTTAAGCCAGGACTGATTGACCTTTCCATGAAACTTTCAGTATATGGAGAATGTTGGGAGAAGGCCTTCCAAACTCCCAATTCTTTCTCATGTCTGCCAGCTTGGCTTTTAGGGCTCTCACACAGGCTAGCACTCTTCCACTTCAGTCACAGCTCCATTTCCGGCCTTTTGGTGTTTAGTAGGAGATGAGAATATCATGGACTTTTCCTGCCGGGTCTAGCTTGCTTTGAACCATTATCCTCAGATCTCAGCCTCCTATGTAGCTAGGTTTACAGGCGTGAGCCACCAGAGCCCAGCCAGTCTTTATTTATTTATTTACTTATTTAATTAATTTATTTAGTTTTTGGGTCTGGTCGTGGGGCCTGAACTCTGGGCCTGGGTGCTGTCCCTCAGCTCTTCAGCCCAAGGCTAGCACTCTGCCACTTGAGCCACAGCACCACTTCCGGCTTTTTTCTTTTTGCTTATATGGTGCTGAGGAATCGAACCCAGGGCCTCATGCATGCAAGGCAAGCGATCTATCACTGAGCCACCTTCCCAGCCCATCCAGTCTTTATTTTTTAAAAGTGCATTTTACTTTATAATAATTATTTGCTTTATAAGTTTCAAGCCCAGGTTTTTTTGTTTTGTTTTGTTTTGCCAGTCCTGGGGCTTGAACTTAGGGCCTAGGCACTGTCCCTGAGCTTCTTTGTTCAAGCTAGTGCTCTATCACTTGAGCTACAGCTCCATTTACAGCTTTTTTGGTGGTTAATTAGAGATAAGAGTCTCCTGGACTTTGCTGCCCAATCTGGCTTTTAACTGTGATCCTCAGATCTCAACCTCCTGAGTAGCTAGGATTACAGGCATGAGTCACCCACCAGTGCTTGACTAATAAAAGTATGTTGTTTTTTTTTTGTGTGTGTGTGCTGGTACAGGCACTTGAACTCAGGGCCTTGAAGGCTCTTGCTCTGTTTTTTTTTGGTCAGAGCCACACCTCGTTTGTCACCTCCTCAGGGAAGCTTAGACTGGTCATTCTATGACACTGCAAGTCCCCATCCATCCCTCTCCCTCCCTTTGCTTTTTTTTTCCTTCAGAATTATCATGTGATAAGTATTGATCATGTACCAACATTTCCAATCCCTAGAAAAGTACTTGGGTTACAGTATGGGGGAGCTTGATAAAGATGCGGGAATGCCTGTCATGTCAGCCACTTGAGAGGTAGACATAGGATCACAGTTTGAGGAAAAAGCTAGACTCCATCTCAATGACTAAACTGGGCATGGTGGTGTGCATAAGTAATCCCAGCTATGCGGGGGCATAGGTAGATGTTTGTGATATGAGGCCAACATTAGGTAAAACACAACTAAAGTAAAAACTGGAATGGGAGTGGGGTGCTTGTGGCTCATGCCTGTAATACTAGCTACTCAGGAGGCTGAGTGGAGGATCATAGATCAAAGCCAGCTTGGGCAGGAAAGGCTATAAGACTCTAATCTCCAATGAATCACCTTAAAAAATGGAAGTGGAAACTCATGCACCGGTTGCTCATGCCTGTCATCCTAGCTACTGAGGAGGCTGAGATCTGAGGATCGTGGTTCAAAGCCAGAGTAGGCAGGAAAGTCCATGAGACTCTTATCTCTAATGAACCACCAGAAAACCAAGTGGCACTGTGTCTCAAGTGGTAGAGCAGTCGCCTTGAGCTGAAGAATGCAGGGACAGGACCTAGGCCCAGAGTTCAAGCCCCATGACCAAAAAAGAAAAAAAAAGTGGAGCTATGGCTCAAAGTGCTAGAGCACTAGCATTGAGCAAAAAAGCTTAGGAATAGCCCTCAGGCTTTTGAGTTCAAGCCCCACAACTGACAAAAAAGAAGGGGAAGTGGTTGGGACTATGGCTTGGAGGTAGAGTGTTTGCCTAGCATGCATGAAGCCCTGGGCACATGCAGAAGCAGAAAAAGTCACAAGTGGTACTGTGGCTCAAGTGGTAGAGCGCTAGCCTTGAGCTAAAGAAGCTCAGGGACAGTCCCCAGGCCCTGAGTTCAGGCCCCATGACTGAAAATATATATATAAAAAAAGGGGGAGACTGAGAATATGGCTCACGATAGATGCCTAACAAGCATGAGGGTGAAATACTGAACTTTGTAAAGTCTATTCTGTTGGGGGTCCCACAGCCTGAGGCTCCTTCCCAATGCAGCCTCATAGCAAGTATTTCCCAGGATACCTTTGACTGGTGGGGAATCAGATTCCAAAGGAGGGGGATGGAGAGAGGGGGCTTTTTGGAATATTCTGGTTTTGTTGGCCATGGACTCAGTGTCCTGTCTTTCTCCCCGCCATGCAGTGCAGCCCCTGGAAGAAGAATTCCTGTTGCACCAGCAACACCAGCCAGGAAGCACATAAGGACGTGTCCTACCTCTATAGTTTCAACTGGAACCACTGTGGCAAGATGACACCCTCCTGCAAACGGCATTTCATCCAGGACACCTGTCTCTATGAGTGCTCCCCTAACTTGGGGCCCTGGATCCGGCAGGTATGAGTACCCTGCTCCCCTGAACTAGCAGAGGAACTGAGCTCGCCAGACATCGCTGTGGGATATGCCTCTAGCATTGGTTTTGTTGAGGCTGCGGTGGTGAGCTGACTTCTCCATCATAAACCTCACAGGTTAACCAAAGCTGGCGCAAAGAGCGGTTCCTGGATGTGCCGTTATGCAAAGAGGACTGTCAGCGCTGGTGGGAGGATTGTCGTACCTCCTTCACCTGCAAGAGCAATTGGCACAAGGGCTGGAACTGGACCTCAGGTGAGGGATGGAGGGAAGGGATCTGGAGGTGACAGTGGATGTGGGGGTGCGGAAGCATATAGTTTTTAGGGTTGGGGACAAGCATAGACAATTCTAGGCTCAGAGCCAGCACTGGTGGCACACAATTGTAATCCTATAGCTACTCAGGAGGCTGAGATCTGAAGATCACAGTTTGAAGCCAGCCTAGGTAGGAAAGACCATGAGAGTTTTTTAATTTTTTTTTTTTGCCAATCCTGGGGTTTGAACTCAGCCTGGACACTGTCCCTGAGCTTCTTTTGCTCAAGGCTAGCACTCTGCCACTTGAGCCACAGTGCCACTTCCAGCCTTTTCTGTTTATGTGGTACTGAGAAATCAAACCCAGGGCTTCATGCATGCTAGACAAGTACTCTACCACTAAGCCACACACATTTCCAGCCTCTCCATGAGACTCTTTTTTTATTTTTATTGTGAAAATACCGTACAGAGGGGTTACAATTACATGGGCAAAATAATGAGTACATTTCGTATCAAGCATTGCAGCCTCCTCCTTTGTTTCCCCTTCCCATTCCTTCCCATCTTCCCCCCCGCTCCCCACACCCCCTCACCCTCGGACCAAAAGTTGTAAAGTTCGTTTTCGACAAAACGACTTGTACAGCTCATTGTTGCAATGGGTCCACCTGTATCTTTATTTAAACGATTTGTTTTTCCCCTTCCCCTCCACAAATCCATGAGACTCTTATCTCCAATTAATCACAGAAAAAGCCAGAAGTGGTGCTATGGCTCAAGTGGTAGAGTGCTAACCTTGAGCAAAAAAGAGTTCAGGGACAGTGCCCAAGCCCAAAGTTCAAGCCCCAGGCTGGCACACACACACAAAAAGTTCTAGGCTCATGGCTAAAACTACTGTCTGCCATACTTCTCACAGGGTATAACCAGTGCCCCATCGGAGCTGCCTGCCACCCCTTCCACTTCTACTTCCCCACGCCTGCTGCTCTGTGTGAAGAGATCTGGAGTCACTCTTACAAAGTGAGCAACTACAGCCGGGGGAGCGGCCGATGCATCCAGATGTGGTTTGATCCAGCCCAGGGCAACCCCAATGAGGAGGTGGCAAGGTTATATGCTCAGGCCATGAGTGGGGCTGGGCATCCTGGGGCCTGGCCTTTCCTGCTCAGCCTGGCCCTGGCTCTGCTCTGGCTGCTCAGCTGAATCCCCTTTACCCTGGGTGCCCCGCTTAGTTCCCCAGCCCTCAGCTCTTCTGAGATCCTCTGTGGTGGGAAATCCAACAGCAGTTTCAAATAAACTAGACACTCCACATGTGTCTTGTGAGTTACTTGGGGGGTAAACGGGAAGGTAATGGCTTAGCTTCCCCATTTTCCTCTATTGAAGCCAATTACACTTGGCTAGTTCTCAGCTCTGGAGCTAGTAAGACACTTCTCAGAGTTCTCAATTTCATTTTTCTATAGCTTTTTTTTTTTTTCTTTTGGTCAGTCCTGGGGCTTGAACTCTGGGCCTGGGCACTGTCCCTGAGCTTCTTTTGCTCAAGGCTAGCCTTCTACCACTTGAGCCACAGTGCCACTTCTGGTTTTCCTGTTTATGTGGTACTGAGGAATTGAACCCAGGGCCTCATGCATGCTAGGCAAGCACTACCACTAAGCCACATTCCCAGCCCTCCCTATAGTCATACCTAGGAAAGTGGGGTTATAGTTATATAAGTCAGAAAAAGAGTGTATTTCTGCGGCTGGGAATGTGGCTTAGTTGTAGAGTGCTTGCCTTTCATGCATGAAGCCCTGACTTATTCCTTAGTACCATATAAACAGAAAAAGCCAGTGGTGGCACTTTGGCTAGTGGTAGAATGTTAGCCTTGAGCAAAAGAAGCTCAGACAGTGCCCAGGCCCTGAATTCAAGCCCCATGACTGGCCAAAAAAAAAAGAAAAAATTGGGCTGGGAAGGTGGCTCAGTGGTAGAGTGCTTGCCTTGCATGCCTGAGGCCCTGGGTTCAATTCCTCAGCAACACATAAGCAAAAAGAAAAAAGCCGAAAGTGGCACTGTGGCTCAAGTGGTAGAGCGCTAGCCTTGAGCTGAAGAACTGAGGGACAGCGCCCAGGCCCAGAGTTCAGGCCCCATGACTGGACCTCCCTCAAAAAAAATTCCTTTTGAACAGTGTCATCTCTTCCCTGGCTCTCAGAAAGTTTTCTTTTTTTTTTTCTGTGTGTATGTGTGCGTTTGTGTGTGTGTGTGTGTGCTTTTGTGTGTGCGCGCGCACACACACACCAGTACTGAGACTTGAACTTGACCTTGGCACTTTCCTGCTTTCAAGCTCAATGCTGGCACTCCACCATTAAAGTCACTTTTGGCTCCACTTTTGGCTTTTTTTAATGATTAATTGGGGATAAGAGTTTCAGACTTTTGGGGCTGGGAAGTTGGCTCAGTGGTAGAGCGCTTGCCTTGCATGCCTGAGGCCCTGGGTTCGATTCCTCAGCACCGCATAAGCAGAAAAAAAAAAGCTGGAAGTGGCACTGTGGTTCAAGTGGTAGAGTGCTAGCCTTGAGCTGAAGAGCTGAGGGACAACGCCCAGGCCCAGAGTTCAGGCCCCACGACCAGACCAAAAAAAAAAAAAGAGTTTCAGACTTTTTCTGCCTGGGCTGGCTTTGAACCACACTCCTCAAATCTCAGCCTCCTGAGTAGCTAGAATTCTAGGGATGAGCCACCAGCACTGCGGTAAAAATGTTCTAAAACTTGTATACAAAGGGATCGTACCATTCAGTAGAAATGTTATAAAGTTGAAATAGGCAACGTGTATAACTTGTATTGTCTTTTTTTTTTTTTTTTTGGTGGGGCCTGGGGCCTGAACTCTGGGTCTGGGCGCTGACCATCAGCTCTTCAGCTCAAGGCTAGCACTCTACCACTTGAGCCACAGCGCCACTTCCAGCTTTTTTTTTTTCTGCTTATGTGGTGCTGAGGAATCGAACTCAAGGCCTCCTGCATGCAAGGCAAGCACTCTACCACTGAGCGACCTTCCCGGCCCTAAATGATTATCTTACAGAGAATTCTATGCTGAATTTTGCGAAGTGTGCCCAAGATTTGAAGTGATTTTTTTGTTGTTTGTTTTTGGTTCCAGTCCTGAGTCTGAGCTTCTTTTGCTCAAGACTAGTGCTCTACCTTTGAGCCACAGCTCCATTTCCAGCATTTGTTTTGGTAGTTTAGTGGAGATAAGAGTCTAGTGGAAACTTGGTGCCAGTACCTCACAGCTATAATCCTAGCTACTCAGGAGAATGAGATCTGAGAATCTCAGTTGGAAGAAAGCTGGGGCAGGAAGGTCTGATTCTCTTATCTCCAGTAAAAACCAGAAATGGTACTGTAGCTCAAGTGGTAGAGCACTAGCCTTGAGCACAGAGAGGCTCAGGGACAGAGCCCATGTCCTAAGTTCAAGCTCCAGGGTAGGCAAAAAAAGTCAAGTGGACCTTCTTGTCCAGGCTTGCTTCAAACCACAATCCTCAGATCTTAGCCTCCCAAGTAGCTAAGATTACAAACAAAACCACCAGCATCTGGCTGGAGGAAAACATTCTTAAAAGAAACAATATGGTTTAGTGGTTGAGTGCTTGCCTAGCATGTGTGAAGCCCTGGGTTTGATTCCTCAGTACCATATTCTTCAGTACCACATAAACAGAAAAAGCCAGAAGTGGTACTGTGCTCAGGTGGTAGAGTGCTATCCTTGAGCAAAAAGAAGCTGAGATATAGTGCCCAGGTCCTGAGTTCAAGCCCCAGGACTGGCAAAAAAAAAAAAAAAAGGAAACTTAATATCTGGTTTTATAAAAATCTATTTCCTAGCCAGGCGCTGGTGGCTCACGGCTGTAATCCTAGCTACTCAGGAGGCTGAGATCTGAGGATCGTGGTTCAAAGCCAGCCAGGGCAGGAAAGTCTGTGAAACTCTTATCTCCAATAAACCACCAGAAAACCAGAAGTGCCGCTGTAGCTCAAGTGGTAGAGCACTAGCCTTGAGCTGAAGAGCTGAGGAACAGTGCTCAGGCCCAGAGTTCAAGCCCCACAAGCGACAAAAAAAAAAAAAAAAAAAAAAAAATTTCACCATGAACAATCAAGGAAGACACTTGCTCTTGATGTGGCTGTTGATAGGCAATGTCAGGAGTGACATTTAGTGGGGTGCCTACCAACTAGGCATTTTTCTTTTTCCTTTCACTCCCCACCTCCCTTTCTAGCAGTACTGGTATTATGAACTTGAGACTATGTGCTTACTAAGTAGATGACTATCACTTGAGCCAAACCTCCTGTCCAGACTTTTTCTTTCTTTTTTGGTTAAGTCTCATGGACTTTTCTTCCCAGGCTGTCTTTGAAAGAAGTCATCCAGATCTCAGCTTCATGAGTAGCTAAGATTCTAGGCATGAACCACTGGCACCCAGCATGACCAAAGAATTTTTTTTTAAAAAGAGAGTGCTTATTCCCTTGGCCTAACTATGATCTTCTAAATTGAGGGCTAGAGACCAGAGCCAGGGGAAGAAAAAAAGCTATATCATATGACTAGTCAAAAAAAGAACATGACATATGCTCCCCAAAATACCAAGACAATAACCACAATCATATCTCCTTAATTAACGTGATGCATTCCTTTAAAATGACTTCTTGTTGCTTGTTTTTGGCTGAGCATCTTCCATAGAATTCTGCCTGGGGGTTGGAGTTTTTCTGGAAATCCAAACTTCAGACTCTAGCAGGCTGACTCATCCAAGTGTTGGTTTATGGGAGTGATGTCAGATATGTTTGTTTCCTGTCGTCCAGTTATAGAAGGGATCTTTGGGCAAATAGTACAGGAGACTTGAGACATTTGTGGACACTACCTATTAATTGTCAATATCCATAAGAGAAAGGTAAGAATTTCCATTGGGATGTTATATGTAAGAGCATAAACCTACCAGTACCTTGAACAGTTCATAAAGGCTGAATGGATGGCTATTTTAAAGAGAAGTTATTAAAATCTGGAGAACGAGGAGATAGGAGAGTTAGTCTTCTTCACTTAATTAATCCACTTGTTTATATTACTTTATTTGTGCTGGTCCTGGGGCTTGAACTCAGGGCCCCAGTGTTGTCTTTGAGGGTTTGGTTTGGTTTTGTTTCTCAAGTCTAGTACTCTACCTCTTGAGGTACAGTTTCACTTCTCTCTCTTTTTTTTTTCTTTTGTGCCCATCCTGGGGCTTGAACTCAGGGTCTAGGCACTGTCCTTAAGCTTCTTTTTCTTGAGGCTTCCAGTTAAGCCAGCTCCACTTCTAGCATTTTTGGTGGTTTAGTGGAGATAAGAGTCTCACAGAGTTATGCCTGTGTTAGTTTGGAACAATCAGATCTTAGCTTCCTGAATAGCTAGGATTACAGGCTTGAGCCACCAGTGCCCATCTACCACCACTTGGTCGGTCATGGGGCTGGAACTCTGGGCCTGAGTGCTATCCCTCAGCTCTTCAGCTCAAGGCTAGTGCTCTACCATTTGAGCTACAGCACCACTTCCGATTTTTTTAGTGGTTTATGGCGATAAGAGTTTCAGGGAGTTTCCTGCCCAGGCTGGCTTTGAACTGTGATTCTCAGATCTCAGCCTCCTGAGTCTCAGATCTCAGCCTCCTGAGTAGCTAGGATTACAGGTGTGAGCCACAGGCACCCAGCTCACTTTTTTTTTCTTTCTTTCTTTCTTTTTTTTTTTTTTTTTGCCAGTTCTGGGGCTTGAACTCAGGGCCTGGGCACTGTCCCTGAGCTTCTTTTGCTCCAAGCTAGCACTCTACCACTTGAGCCACAGCACCTCTTCAGGCTTTTTCTATTTATGTGGTACTAAGGAATCAAACCCAGGGCTTCATGTATGCTAGGCAAGCACTCTACTACTAAGCCACATTCCCAGCCCCCACTTCTCATTTTTTTGGGGGGGGTCCAGTCGTGGGGCCTGAACTCTGGGCCTGGGTGCTGTCCCTCAGTTCTTCAGCTCAAGGCTAGCGCTCTACCACTTAATCCACAGCGCCACTTCCGGCTTTTTTCTTTTTGCTTATGTAGTGCTGAGGAATTGAACACAGGGCCTCATGCATGCAAGGCAAGCGCTCTACCACTGAGCCACCTTCCCAGGCCATCCCAATTCTCATTTTTTTAAAAAAAGAATTATATCATGTAGCTTAGGCTCTCCTCAAACTTTAGCATTCTCCTCCCTCAGCCTCAGTTTGAGAATTATAATAGGTGTGTACTTATCTATTATGTTGGTACTGGAGTTTGAACTCAGGGTCTAGGTATTGTCCCTTACTCATTTTTGTGCAAGGCTGGCACTCCATCATTTGA